AATGTACATGTGTACCTTTAAGGTCATTCATCCTATTAGTCTTTTCCGTGCTCTATGGAAGGATAATTTGCAAAACGTCCTTAAAATATGAAGCCATTTTGGGGAATCTAGTCCAAAAATAGTGTACTTGAAGTCACAGGTGAATTTTCTCTCAGGAATAATTTTCCTGATGAAAGTGTCATTGAAAACCATCACACAACATCTTATTAAAATTTCCTGTTGGAAATGTACATGTATGCCTATCAGTTTAACTGGTTTTGTTTTTCCACAAAAAGTATTTGAATGAAAAAAAGTTCATTATTTGTAGCTGAATGAGTGAATAGTTATGGGTTTTTTTTCCTCAGTAGCATCAAAGTATAAACCTTTTTTCCAAAATAGTTGAAAACACAACTCAGGAATGACAAATCAAAATGAATTCTGAAAATGGCAAATCATCCGACCCTCTAGCAACGCGCCGTGAAAACTGAACTTTCCCATGTACGTCGTGTACACAGAGCACAATTACCATTAGTACATATGAATAATTAATTAGCCATAATTCCAAAACCCTTTGACCTATAGTCATGAAATTTCTTGGGTATGTTCATGATGAGTTGCTCTATGCATGAACCGAGTTTCAAAATTTTTCGTCACTCGATGGCCGAGATCTTAGGGGGCAGAATCCCCCCCCCCCAAAACATATATGTACATGTATGTATATTCTGTGCTAATTGGTGTCCTTTCAGTCAAAATCAATCAAGTGACTGTTTTAACAGTTAAGAGCTCCCAGCCTACGCAAAGCAGGATTGACTGGCTGTGACTGTTTATGTAACTTGATACAGCTACGCTTTGTCTGTAGGTGATTGATAAGCCAGCTCTGCTAGTTGCCTGTGTTTTTTTGTCTGTTGACTGAATTTGACTAGTCACAGTGCTTGCTTGTATATTATCTGACTGTTGGTGACTAGCCTGTGTATTAAGGCATAGCAGGAGAAGTGGATGGATTTTTTTACTGTCTGTGACTGTTCAGATGGCAGAAGGATTAATAACATTTTAACTCTTGGTGATAAAATTTAAACATGCCGGGTAGATGTACATGTATGTAGGTGGTTATCTAAATCCTCGAATTGGCAGTTGGATGAAAATGCATACAGTCGATATGTGCAATCCATGTATGTCATACAGTGTAGCAACTCCAGCAGTGGTTTTCAGCATGGAGGTAGGCCCAGCATGTAGCCATTTTGTTTTGTGTTAAGCCTGCCGTCTATTAAAACCCAGCGAACAGAACAGGTTCATGTGTAAAAGAGGTCAGTCAGTGTCGATAGCTCGGTGAAAATGAACCACCCAAAACTTGGCAACCGTAAATAATGTGAATGCAATAAATCGCATTGTCGTGCAAAAAAAAACATCTCTGAGAATTTTCGCAGTAAATCTTGTGGGTCTGAAATTGTGTGTTTCCATTTTGTGCGAACAAAATGACGATGTGAATGTCGGTGGTGTTGTTTTTGTTTTGATATTCGGTGCCACCGTTCTGAGTCCCCTGGGCAAAACATCTGGTTCAAACCGGCTTCGCCGCTTGTTGGGATTAAAGAGCTGATATGCATGTTGTTTTTCATGTTTCTTGCATGGACATGTATACTAGTTAACCAAAGCCTATAAATTTCTAAATTTGCAGTACATTTTATGAATCTCTTTGTGAACAATTCCTTTAAATTCTTCCTTGAATTTAGAAGCATTTCCAAGACTACCTTTAGTGTTTAAAGGGAATGTACATCATTGGCTTTTGCTGTAATTTTCGGAAATGAACTATTTTGATGGGTTAGTATAACAGATCAAATATTGTTACACTGACATGTTTGAAGTTTTTTGTTTAAAAATACTTTAAAAAACCAAGAAAACCAAAAATGTTCAAGTAGTCTGGTTCCCTGACTCCACTAAAGATGAAATGGATCAATTTATAGATGCCGGAAAATTGTAAGGTAATGGAATCAGTCTAACTGGCCTGCACCCGTTCAAGAACATGTAACCAATAGCAAACAAAATTTGGACTGAAAAAAAGGGAAATTTGGAGCAGTAGTTGAAAATAGTTAGGTTTTTCCAATGGTGGTCGGCCGACCACCGTTGGAAATTTATACAAAATACCACTTTTCTTGAAAAGGACTTCACACATGGTGCCATAATTTTACAGGATGCTTTAGACTGTCATTTACCAACATCCTAGTAAGGTATTTCGTAAAAACTTGGTAGTTTTGTTTTTCGATATTTGCAAATGTTGTATGTTCCCTTTAATTGATTTGAACCATTTCGGTTCATCAAAATTTTGATATGCCTTTTAGAAAGCTTTGGCTAGGATCAAAATCTAAAGCACTTTGGTTTTTCACGATTTTAGGTTTTGGCTAATTCTCATCTTAATTTGGTTTCCTTGTAAGAAAAGGGGTAATTAGTTTTTTGGATGGTCATACATGTATGTTTACATGTAGTATTCAGTTTTCATAACATGTACATGTATATATAATTTATACAAAGCTTAGCATGCAGGTTCGTACTTCATGCGAATGTGAAGCGAATTGTGTTAAACTTTTGGGCAATTCCACGGTTACTCACGTTACGAAAATGTAACGTGACGGTGAGTAACCGATTTTGTGCGTCTTGTTTATCATACATAACACATTTTTCTGGATGTCATCTTTGGTGCTTAGGTAGGTCTAGGTCTACTCTATCTACCATGGGGATAACAGTTATTAAACCTTTTCAGTAAGGTAATTACAGCCCAAGGAAACTCAGAAGTACATCAAAAATGTAACGTGAGTAACCGTGGAATTGCCCTTTTGCAAATTCACTTTCGCGCTGACTATGAACAGGAGTTATGTACAAACTGTACAGATAAAGGTTCTTGCAAACATACTTGTACCGTAGCTTGAAATGGTTCTTGAAGTGCACTGAGAGCAGGATTTTATCTGTTCTCTCAGCACATGTGCATTACATCAGATGAGCTTGGATGCGTTTTCTCTGAGCTACGGAAATTTGAGGAGAACCTTTACGTCATCACATCTGTAAATCGTATGCCGTACTTTTACATTGATACATGTGCTTTTGTACCGTACCTTGGCCCAATTCCATACATTTGGCTGGATAGCTCAGTTGGTAGAGCACCGGAAAGGTAGTCCGGAGGTTGCAGGTTCAAACCCCGCTCCAGTCAATTTCTTTGTTCACTATAAAAAATTAAAAACTGATAATGCACCTCAGTTTCTCTTTGCGGTTTATTAGAAAAAAAAATGCTGAGCAGAGCACCAGTCCAATAGATATTAAATCATGTAGAATTTTAACTGGTAACCTTATTTTCCTTAGCAGCTTTTTTTGGCGCTTAGCAAGTTTCAGCGCTTTACCGGCTCTGTGTAAATCAGTATACACCACGCTTGTTTGATCTTGGGATTTTGTTTCTGGTGGATTGGCAGTGCATGAATTACACAGGAGAAAGATTCCCAGTTAATTTGCCAAATGGAGAAGGGCATTGAACGTTGTTGATGTGGCAGCCAACGTCTGTTATTGCCATCCCTTACTGAATCAGCTCACAGGACTCCCTGTGCGATGCTAGGTAGTAATGAGTCGTGAATGCAAGAAAATCTGGGCACTCAAGACCAACGTATTTATGCATAAGATTAAGTGAGTTTTTTTTCCCATTGTCAATTTTCTTGTTGTGTTTTTTTAAGGTTTTTTCTGCCTAGTCTAGTGTGTTTTTTGTACATATCTCACTGACAGGCTGAATTACTATTTAGCTGACTGACTGACTGACTGTCACTTGTGACTAAGACCGATTCCAGACTGGTGAAGGGAGTCTAGGATTACTCTAAATACGGCCTACCGGTATTGTGGAGACCAGAGGCATGAAAAGACTGGGACCAGCTTTACTAGACTTGCCCAGTCTTATCAAGAAAAATAATTGTTATTTTGTCAGACAACATTTGATTTTGAACCATTTTATGCAGTTAAAGTACCGTACTTCATGTTCACAAAATTCTTAATATTTTACATGCAAGTGCGTGTATGTTTTCGGTTTTTTTTTTTTGTGGGGTACATTTTGTGGGGGCGAACAACAAATGTTTATGCACATGTAATGATCGGGAGATTTCTTTCGTCACCAATTGGGTTTTTTTGGGTCATTTTATTTGTCTCTTAATCCTTTGCCAAAATTGGCACTGTGTGTGAATACTTACGAATGTTCATGACAATTTTACCCTGACTTTATTTTGATGTCTTTCATATTATCCCCTCTTTGACCCGTAAATTCGATCTAACCTCGTTGGTTTGACAAATGACAGAATATTTTGAATACCCATTCTCATCTGGCATCCAATTAGCATATCTATGAGCGAGACGCTGTCGGCACTCGAAATATGTACATCACTAAGTCGGCTCGAGTTTCTCTCTCCTCTTCACCGTAGCCATGAATTTTTGAATATTTCCCAACAGAAATATTACGTGTACTGCTCAAGTATGTGCACTATGTGAATTTTTTTGACAGATACACATTTTGTACAAACATTACTTTCCAGTTTTCATTTTTCGTAATTTTAAAAAGGGTGTTGATTTGGGTTCTGTTATTTTGTTTACAAAATTCTGTGTTATTACACATGAATGCATGTATGTATACATGTACATTTGTTTGCATTTTTAATAATATGCCGACTTGAAAAGTTGAACATATGTTCATTTGCATTTAGAATTGATTCATAATTACACAGATTGAGTATCACAGGTTTACAAAATAGAATAAACCATGACAGCATCCGAAAACCTGTACAAGTGTGCACAACAAAATTCCTGTTGCAGACGCCCGAAATTGGAGCAAAAGTAATTTTTTTTGTTAAAACAAAGCGTAGCCTACTAATTAAAATTCATCAGGAGAATTTGTTTAAGAGCAAGGGTACGCATCTTTAGCACCCCATACAAGACTCCAATTTTAAAGTGATGTAAAGTTATTCACCTTTCGCTTTTTTTGTATTTCTTTTCTCTTTTTTTTATAGAGGGCGTACCGCAGGTTTACTACTTTGGTCCCTGCGGTAAATACAATGCAATGGTCATGGAGTTGATGGGGCCGAGTCTGGAGGACCTGTTTGATATCTGTGATAGGCAATTCTCATTAAAGACAGTCCTTCTTATAGCAATCCAGTTGGTGAGTATGAATGTTGCCTGAGAACTTTGGAGATCTGCAGACATAACAAATAATATCAAGACAAAGAAGTATCGTTTCGGTTTGCAGTAAAAAAACTTGTCTTTGGTCTCTAGAACTTAAAGCAGAACTTAAAGCAGGACTGTTCTTATCAGGAAAAAAGTACTTAGCGAAAGTTGATAATAAGCAGGACAAGTTCTTTTCAGAACTAAATATCTTCTAAGCAGTAGTTATTACCACATGGTGTTACCGCAAACTGAAATGATACCGATACCCCACCATGCAAAGCCTCAAATCTTATATAAGACAAAGAAGGAAACCAACAAATTGGTTACCAGGCAAAACGGTTGGTACTCAGCTGTAGAACTGTGCCCCACCTCTTTGTTCCCTTCAGTTGTTCTTTTAAAGTTATCAGGGGTTTTTTTTTGGTTTTTTTTTTTTAAATTTTGTTTTAATCAACTGGAAAGTTATCTGTGCTCACACACATAGGGTCATTCTCTACAAAGTAGGGTCCAAAGTGTGACATTTTCCTGTCCGTGTTACCTCTGAACTTTGTAATTTGCCATTCGAGTATCGTTAGAAATTACTTCAAAAGATTTTTTTATTTGTTGGGTACATCTAGGTACTCATAGTTTGCTATTCGTAATCACTCTTAGAGGACAACTGCATTAAGGTGTGCAACTGGAAATACACAATTTTAGATGTCAGATGTAACAGACAGGAAAAAAAGGGGACACTAAATTTATATAATGACCCATTTATAAAAAAATGTATGAGGGACCATCTTTACATTTAGATAGTTTTGGGGTTCCATTATTGTGGAAAAAGGTGTTCGTGCATCATTCTAAGATGCAATTTTCATCCCTCTATAAATAAACCGCAATCCAGCCCGGCTCCAAATAGTTTCTTTTTTTTTTCGAACACACAAATCTGTCCGTTCTAAATTTGCCAAAATCGACTATTAATATATTTTTTTGGGCATTTTTCAAAAATTTCACAAAAATCTGCGAGCACCGCAATTTTCTTCAGTGCTACCGGTACGTTGTATGTAGAATGACATTGCTAAGTGAAAATGGGTTACCAACCAAAATGTCACTTGATTTACATGTATATTGCTTGTGACTGGTAATCGGACAATCCATTTTGCACTTAAAATTTACACGTGTACTTACAATGTCAACAGAGTTTTTATTCAGCTAAGAAGTATACATGCACATTTACATGTACACATGTAGCTTGTAGAAAAGCTCTGAATTTGTGATAAGGTCTCACTCTCAGAAAATGTAAGGCTGTACATGTACATTTGAAAAACATAAATTTTCATCCAGTCAGGTCTGTAATTTGTGACAATACCCCATCTATCAAACAGAAATGACACAAGTTTCCTGTTTCGAATCATTCAACAGTTAACGTGAATTACACTTTCAATACAAAATGAAAAAAACCAAAATGTCCTGTGAATAGGAAAAAAACAGTATTCCCCTCGCTGACATTTTAAGCAATATTCCTATTCCATTTACTAAATTGAGCGTGTCTGCTGGACACAGGACGGTTCTCTGTTTTGTTTTTGATTTTTTTGTTCTGGGCAAATCCGATCTGCGGGCAGCTCGTTCAAGGGAAAGAGAAATGACATGATGGATGGTGTGACTATTGAAGTGGCACAAATCATATCCGCGAGGCTGCATCTGCAATCATAATAGTACTACAGGGATGGAAGAGAATAACTCTTGATGTGCAGACTACATGTATTTTGCTTGCTTTGCTACATGCTTTGCTTTATGTAGTGGAACAAAAACTATCAAATCTGGGTTCAAATTTGATGGAGGATGCTATAAGCAGAAAATATTAGCGCTAAGTTAAAATCAGCAGAGATCCAGGAACAAGCAGTGTACATGTGTAATTCGGATGATGTACATGTATTGGCTGGTAATTTTTTTTTGTCTGATCAAATATTTTCTGTTCTTTCATCCCCATACATATGTGTACCCATATACATGTTCATGTACATTAGACATGTTTCATTTCCATATCATTGCACAACAACCATGTACCTTTGAGGCTTTGCATGGTGGAGATACTAAATAATGAAAGGTTTGCGGAAACACCATGTGCGAATAATTTCTCAACTAAGAGAATGGTTCTGAAAAGAACCAGAGGTATAAACTCGACGTTCCGGTCGGTATGTTCTGATCGTCCAAGCATGTACCTCTATATTGGTCAGCTTTCGACTCTACATGGCTAAATCTCTCATGGAGAATGTTTTTTAAGCATGCATAGTACTGATCCGCCAGCCTCAGCTGCATGGGTGCGTGCGCGATCCTTCACTAACCCCTGGCAGTGAGGAATACGCAAACGACCCTGGTTGACTATTCAGAGCATACTGCGCATGTATTTTGAGTACACGTCACGCCCTTTATGCACACGCCTTATCACCTGTGCGTCACGTCATGTACACATTTTTTTTTCAAGACTGTGCGATGCCTGTACGATGGATTCTGGAAGCCTCGTTTTTCGCCCCCCAAAAAGCCCATGTATCTTGTGTTGTGAAGGGACGACTAAGGTACCCGGTACACGTACATGTACGTACATTTTACATAAATCCTTGCTCTATAACGCAATGTCAAAATCTCATGTTTTAAAGGATCGATTCCACCAAAAAAAAACAATTAAACTTTTAAGTATTGCACCGCGTTAAGCACATCAACTGCAGTCCTAACTTAAATGTCCCAAATAGTGGCACATTTGAATTATACCATTCCAGGGGTTAAGATTGCGCAAGGTATGATGGGAACCAACATGGCAAGGACGATTGTACCCATGGTAACGTGGTTGCCAATCCGCACATTTGCTGAATGTGTACGTGTGGTTTACATGTGTGCATATTTACATACATACATACCGGTACATGTACCGGTACATTTGTTTATATCTTTTTGAATAGAAAAGTGCAAATAGTGCACTTCCTTTAAATTTTCATTTAAAAACAGAAATACATTATAACCAAATGTCCTCAATGTGCCCACTCACTGAATCAAGTACCAGTAATTGCCACATGCAAACTTTGATTCTGAACCATAGAGCTATATTAAATTACTAGAGCGCTAACTCGATGTACATGTACAAAGTAATGCCTGATGGGCGCATCCATGTGTGTGCACAAACCTTTGGAAAACTCGAAATTTTGTACGGCTTTTGTATTTGCATATCTGCGTTTGTATTCCATACCGGTGCGTCATCGAAGCCGATACGCCCAAAACCGAAACGCACAATCAGCAAATGAGCATTTCATTTTGCTCTACGCAAACAGCGCAACGTGTGCGCGTCCCTGGGCCCTCCGCTGCAGATGCTTTTCGCAGTGACGTTTTTTTTTAACCGTCATGACGCGCTGAAGTTGTCTGCGTATGTTCTACTTGCGCGTTGCATGTAGAGTACACTTTTAAAATTCAATCCATCTATTTTGATTGTGTTCTACAAACACGCACATAAATTCAAAATGTCTGCGCCCAGAGCAGCTTCAAAGCGTCTCCGCGCGCAAGAATGAAGAGTTAGCGCTCTAGTAATTTAATATAGCTCTATGTTCTGAACTTAGTTTAGCACATCCATGTATATCAGTTTATCAGTTTTAGGTTACTAATAGGTCTCGTTCAAATGACGTCATTTCCTACAGACCATCCACGTGCATCGGCATTTTGAGCATCAACTTGCATAATGCGCATCAGCTGCCTCGTATTTAGAACACATTTCGAGGAACAAACGCGCGTGTTTGGAACATTTTCAACACTGCGCAATGCGTGCTAGATTGCGTAAAATGCGCAGTTGCACTTCTCCTACAGAAATGGCCGTCTTTGAACGAGCCCTATTCAGCAGAAATAGGTGTAATGTGCTACCTGACCAGACAAACCTGAGCAAATTATTCTATGGAATGGTCAACAGCCATCACACACCTGTGACTCAGTGCAAATACACACAGACAGCATTTAAACCCAATCAAATACTGGCCTTGATGTCTGTAACCAGGTTGTCTGAAAAATGAAACACGTTTACTGGAATTGATCTGTGACATTAAATAAACAGAGATAATACAATCCAATTCTTAGCTGGTTCAGGTGTGTACATTGTATCAGGGGGCGGATCCAGTATTTTCCAAAGGAGTGGCTGAGATGATCAAGTCCAACATTTTTCAAGGGGGGGGGGAGGTGTTCATGTTGTAGTCGATGCATAAAAAGAGAAAGGGCATGAAGCAATGCCTCCAGATTAGCAATATTGATTGATGACGACTTTTATGGAACTTAAGGAAATTTAGGATTCGTTTCCATTATGTAAAATGTAAATAATAAACATTGGTAAATCATTGGGGGTGGGGGGGGGGGGTTAGCCATCCCAAACCACCCCTCCCACCCCCCTTGGATCAGACCTTGTACAACTATGTTCCATCTACATAAATGTGCACAAAGCGATTGGAAGGGTAGTACACTTGTGAGGGACAGTTCAAAAAGGATGTCTTATCATGGTTGATGTAACCATTGACCTCCCCCCTCAAACTCTTCGGGTTTTTTCTCTCAGTTTCCAACCATTATTGTTTAATTAATGCCAAAAACAAGATAAACTTGTGTAGTAGAAGTGTTTGGGTTGGTTTGTACTTCACTCAAAAGGGTAAGCAAAACAAATTTCCTGACCACAACAATTAAACTGTTTCATTGTGTCTACCGTTATCTTGACCCTGACACCCTACTGTCTTAAGTACTGGACCAAGTCCACCAAAATCCATCAATCGCACTGCCTCCAATGCTTGCATTGCTTTAGGCCTCCAGGTCCAAGTCCATCATACTCCATCAATGTGAATTCAAACCAGGCCTGCAGGACCAAGTCCCCCAAAATCCACCAAAAAGGGGGGGGGGGTGGATTTTGATGGAGTTGGGGATGTTAGGGTTAATGAATTTGCTTTGCGCTGAACTCTGTGTGGAGTATGAACCTGCCTAAGTACATGTACATGTTGTAGAAAAAAAGGAACCTGAAAACTTGTTCACTTTTTTTAATTGAGAAGTCTTTGAAAGTCAATTAATTAAAACTTATTCCCCCTCCTCATTTCACTTTCCCAGCTTCACAGAATAGAATATGTACATAGTAAGCACTTGATCTACCGCGACATCAAACCGGAGAACTTTCTGATCGGCCGGCAGTCCAGCAAGAACCAGAACGTCATCCACATCATCGATTTCGGTCTGGCCAAGGAGTACATCGACCCGGAGACCAACAAACACATTCCCTACCGGGAGCACAAGAGCCTGACCGGCACGGCGCGCTACATGAGCATCAACACCCACCTGGGAAAAGGTCAGATATGATCAAACCCCATTGGCTCATTGTATTACATTGTATTACTTTGTATATACCCCTTGGTGAATCAATAAAATCAAAGAGTGCAGAGGCAGTTTGGGACAGTATAGCTGAGTCTGTGATCACGTTATCAATGTACTTTCACGAGGCCCCCTTCAATGGAGAAGCCATTATGCATGCTACTGTATAAAGCAACTGCACGTGAAGGATTATGGCCATTGGAGGGGGCCTTTGTGATAGAATTTCAGCATGCCGGGATTGGTGAATATGGGGTAACTGGCAGGGTGCTTTGGGCTGGAACAGGACGAATTGGTTAAAACCTCGGTGCACAACCGCATAAAACAGGCATCCCAAAGGGCATCCCATAGTCTGGCTGAACCAAATTATAATTCAAAACATTTGAAAATAAAGTTCATTTTAAAGGTATGATTTTTGAAACCGTGATGAGTGACAAAGTCAACTATAAAAGATCAACTATAAATTGCAGTCAGACTGAATGACTGCAGTGTCTAGTCGATGGAAAACGATTACATAAAAAACTTTTTGAAACCAAAATTTGTGGTACATTTGTCGTACCTGAGCGACCTGAGTTCCTTCAAATACTTTTGAATCAGTGCGACTCTACGAAACAAGTCTTAAATGGGTGTTAGTTCCTCCACCCCTCCTCCACCCCTCCCTTACCCCTCACCGTCCCCTACACCCCTTCCATGACAAGCATGAGAGTAAACATTCACAATCAATTTGTATGCCGAAGGGGAGTAAATGGCACCCAAGGAGAAACTAAGTCAAGTTTGTTTTGTATGTCTGAGCCTTGAAGAAGAAATAACAAGGACCTTTAAGGCCATTTTGGAAAAAAAAAACAGGTTTTTTGTTTTGAGTCGGTGTTGACACATGCCCCAGATTACTGTATCTGCAGGTTCTGTTCAACCTGTGTTTTACAAAAACAAAATATGAACTGTGATGGATAAGGGCTTCGAGATATGAAGCACTGAGGATGGAAGGATGCGGTATTGTCATGACAACAGCCAGTCAACCTTTAAGGAAAACAGGAGGAGTTGTACATTGTTACAAGTACTAAGACAGAGTTTTTTCCTCACTATCCAAAATCTCCATGTTAGAGCTGGGTTCAACTAGGAGATTTCGTGAACGTGAGCCCCTTTCACTCTAGCAAGAATCTGACACGTTTTCACGGGTAAAATCCAACCCTGGTCCTAGGCCTGGATAGAGCATCCAAAATGGATAGAGCATCCAAAATCCACAGCTGACCCGTGTACACACCGATGAAATGGTGAACAGTATACCTTGCCTGCCCTTGTTTGATGAGACTCTGTTCCACTTACACAGCGTACCCGTGTTGACTTCAACACGGGCAGGCAAGACGATAGTGTAAAAGAGCCTGTACATGTATTAGGGAGGTTGACCTCATTTTTCCTTGCAACCGTGCACGCCTATTTCTTCGAAGATGCCGTTTGCAAATTTATCCACGCAGCTGTGTCAATTGGCTTAAATTTTTTGAGGTCGCGTTATCTTGGGGGTTTGACCAAGGTAATCGGATTTTATGTCAGCTGTGCAGATGCCACTGTCAGTTTTTATGTTCTCAAGTAGATATCTTTAATGAAACATCTGCTACACATGTTCTATAGCCAGTTTCTCAAGATGGCTATCAAAAAAAAATGTTGAAAAATTGAACTTCGTTCCTTAAATGTTAGGTATAGAAATTGAAGAGAGATAACTTGAGTTTATTGCCACAAATGTTGTAATTCTCATTGTACATGTAAATTTCTGAGGATACAAATGTGCTTGATGAACAGGTTCCAATTTTATTGACCTGCTAAGCAGCCAAAAAAATAGTGCTTAGCAAATATTAGCCAATAGCTAATATCTCTGCCAAGTCAAGGACTAGCCTTAAGGATATGTACACACCATGACATTTTGGGAACTCTTTTTGCTAAGCAAATGTTTTCTGCGCTAAGCGAATTTCACATACTCCCTGTAAGCAGCTCGAAAGAGTATGTCCCTGAACATGTAACCCGTATTGTATCTATGTCAATTTGTTTCTATTCTTTTTTTTTCAATCATCTGGAGAAACCCTCGAGAGCATTCCAATCAACGTAAAAAGACTAGCTGTCTCAATTTCAATGACGATAAGAACAATTTGAGGCCCGAGACGTAATGCCTCTGTTTTCTCTCTCTCTCTCTTTTATTTGGCCGGGTTTTGAGATCACCAAGGGGAAGATTATCTGATCATATAGCTCCAAGTTCCTGTCGGTATAATTTGATCAGATGCGTCGGGGGGGGGGGGGGAGGAATGAAATGCCATTGTCAGTCCGTTGGGTATTACAGTACGTGGAGCACTCAGTGCTGCCGCGAGGTTTTTGTCGTATAGGTGGAGATCCGCACCACAAATGCAGCTTTTTGGATCGGGTTTCTGTCGTGCCATTGTGTCGCTGCAATTTCACTTAGAGTCCGAAGGATGTGCTGGCATGCGTATCTTGTACGCGTGTTTGGGAAAAACAATTTAGGACGGGCAGAGATGTTGCATGCACGGGCGACAATTTGACAAACAACACGCCACCCAGAGGCATGGGGCAATGAAATGTTTCAACAGATAGGAAGAGTTATGATTTTTATAACACCTGTTTTTACGCTGCATGTGCTATCAGGAATTTTTTTTTAGCTGTGAGGAATTTCAGGAATGTGAAGTTTGTTATGGGAGGAGACTTGGACAGGTTTTTTTGGGGGGGGGCTCTTATGTTTTGCTCTCCTTGCCTATTGTCAAATCTTTGTAGTGACCTGTCGTACCGGTACATGTACGTGTAACTGGGAAATGGCAATGTTTTGGTATAAATTTTATATTTAACGTTATTGTGATGGCTTTTTCCAAAGAAAGTCCAAACGGTGTATCAAACAGGGTGGTAAAGCTGAATATTAATTTGAAGCTACTGCCAAAATATAATTTCTATCTCAGAATAGACCTTTATCATGTTGCGGCCATCTTGATTGTTTCCCATTCAAATCAACGTACCCACAGCGAGGCTGGAAGGAAAAATAGTCTGGTTCCTGTTTGCACAAAACACAATTGTCATTCAGTACTGTTATTAGATACAGGGAACATGACTGAAATGGTGGCAGCATGATAAAGGTCAATTAGATTCTATTTAGTACTTCTGTTTAAGGTCCAACTGAAGAAGGGGACCTAAAGATCATATTTCTTCATTGTCAATAGAGGGCTCTTGTGGCTAATTTAATCAGGCTGGGCTTTCATCAGCTTGGCACTTGGCCTTTTTTCATTGGTTCCTGTGGACTGCTTATGTTACAATGATGGCAGCCATTTTAAACTTGAAATGTTGCTTTTTTTTTTAATTATTATTTCAGAGCAAAGTCGGCGAGATGATCTGGAGGCCATGGGTCACATGTTCATGTACTTCCTCAGAGGCAGTTTACCTTGGCAAGGCCTCAAGGTAAGACTCTCAAATATTTGTGATTTTTCTCATTACATTACATGTAGAATGCCGTGGGCAGGGATACGAATTGGTTCTCCACTGGAAGGACTGTTTTGCATTAGGGCTGTGCCAAATATACTGAATATTCAAATATCCGAATATCAAAATATCCAAATATTCGAATATCCGATATTGTCCAATTACAATATTAAAAAAATCTGAGTGGTGGCAAGAAATTGAAGAGAAAACGTCTGTGATGTCATTTTAATCGTGTACATGTAAGTTGCGTGCTTTTATTGTTTGTCAAATGCCACATTTGTGTCGACAGCCATGTTTTAAGCATGATTTGAGAGCGTCTGTGAGGGATATCAATTATAATTTGCAACTTTAAAATCCCTCAAATATATGTATCAGCTGGTCAGCTACTTCTTAAAATGCATTGATACTATGCATGATGTTCTTAATATTCTACGAAGCTCATTGTCGATTTTCGACAGGCACAGGTGGATGCAAATCTCAATGAATGTCCTGGCCTATGCAATTTATGTGGGGGATGTAAAACTTGATCGGACTGTTTTGAATATTTGAACAGATCCGTGTTAGAATATTTAAATTCTAAATTATTTTTAAAAAGCACAGGCCTACTTTGCATTTATTTGAGCTCAGAATTATCTGGGGTGTAAACTCAACCCCCACCCACCGGCCTTTATTGTACCCTATGCATGTTTATTCGGAGCTACTTCATTTTCCATCCATGGAACATGTGCCAAAACTTGACGTGACGTCACCATTTCGCGTCTTAAAGGGAATATACAACATTTGCAAACATCGAAAAATAAAACTACCATTTTTTTACGAAATACCTTACTAGGATGTTGGTAAATGTTAGTCTCAAGCATCTTGTAAAATTATGGCACCTGGTGTGAAGTCATTTTCAAGAAAATGGTATTTTTGTGAACATTTCCAACGGTGGTCGGCCGACCAGCGTTGGAAAACCTAACTATTTTTCAACTACTGCTCCAAATTTACCATTTTTTCAGTCCAAATTTTATTTGCTATTGGTTACATGTTCATGAACGGGTGCAGGCCAGCTAGACTGATTCCCTTGCCTTACAATTTTCCATCATCTATAAATTGATCCATTTTATCTTTTGTGGAGTCAGGGAACCAGACTACTTGAACATTTTTGTTTTTATTGGTTTTTCCAACCTTTTCGAACACAAAACTTCAAAAATGTCAGTGTAACAGTATTTGATCTATTATACAAACCTCTCAAATAGTTCATTTCTGAAAATTACAGCAAAAGCCAATGATGTACATTCCCTTTAAGCAGTATGGACTAGCAGGTTGCTAGAAACTCAAATCTTAAAACCACTACTGAAGAAAGGTCTTGTGAACATTTGTTAGTTGTTTGCATGTGACATGAGTACAATGTATGACATTTGGAGCAGACCAGGGACTAAATTGGAAATAATGGCCTAAGTAGTGCGTCATGTTTGTCGATAGGTTTGGTTGGGCATGTTGTTCAAATTATAAAAAGCTTTTTTTTTTCCCTCCAAATTTCAAACGGGGATGGGGCGCAAGGGTGTACACAACCCCCCCCCCCCCCAAGTTATTGACATGTGCGTCGAAATGTTACACAGTATGCTCTGCGGCAGGTGCTGTTTCCCCGAGCCTCAGGGGAAAATGTAGACATTAGAACACATGGATGTTAAGCGGATTGCCAGAACCCGTATCGAATGGAGTGCCAAGCACGCACGGTGAACATTACTCGGCCTCGGGCAATTGGGTCGGGAAATAAACACCTCTCGCTCTGATAAAGGGCAATAGGGGTATGACCATATGATTGCAGGGTACTGTCTGCGATTTGGTGTTTCATTACGGTCTGATTGACAGTAATGTGTGGGGCGGTCATAGGCATGACAGGGGCGGATCTAGGTTCAGCTCAGGGGTGGGGGGGAGGGGTAGTTGTCAAGAGGGGAGTTTGGCAGGCATGTGCTGTTTTGTTGTTGTTTTCCCTTTTTTGCAGGGTTGGGGATGGGGGTTTAATTTACAACCTTAGCCAAATACATGTATATGAGACATGCAATTTGTGAGGCATTTATGTGGTTAATGCATTCTATGCATTGAATCTATCTTGTTATGATTAAAGGGCTAGTCCAAGAATTCGCGCACAATATGTCCCATACGTAACAAAAGTTTAACCCTCTAAGATATTCATGGATTTAGTGGGGGGTTTTATTCTACCGTTGAGCACCTGCAAGGAGAATACCCACAATAACGTTTTCTGTTTTTAGTCTTTGCAATGATTATGTAATACAGAAAACATGGCGTTACGTATGGGACAAAATGGGGACGTTTCCTGGGACTTAACCTACCCTAAACACAACTTGAAAGTTCAAAAATTGTCTGCAAAAACATTTTCTTAATTGAGGCAGTCGATTAGCCAAAAATTGGAGGATAATGCCAATGCAGTTGTGATGGAAGAATTCAGCAAAGCCTTTTTTGGACCAAGGAACTTAAATTGTATAAATGAATAGAAGGTTGAATTTGTCTTTTTGTTATTAGCAACCAACAAGCTCAGAACAAGAAGTTTGAAGACTGTTGGCATACGTTTTGATACACTCTCACTGATAAGGTTTTCTTGTAAAATTTCTTGTTCAATTGTATCCACCATGTCTATGTGATGGAAGGATTTGATTTTGAAATCAGAGTTTCTGGAATCGCAAGACGTTTTAAAGGAAATATACAACATTTGCAAACATCGAAAAATAAAACTACCAAGTTTTTACGAAATACCTTACTAGGATGTTGGTAAATGACAGTCTAAAGCATCCTGTAAAATTATGGCACCTGGTGTGAAGTCATTTTCAAGAAAATTGTATTTTTGTATACATTTCCAACGGTGTCGGCCGACCACCGTTGGAAAAACCTAACTATTTTTCAACTACTGCTCCAACTTTACACTATTTTCAGTCCAAATTTTGTTTGCTATTGGTTACATGTTCATGAACGGGTGCAGGCCAGCTAGACTGGTTCCCTTACCTTACAATTTTCCGGCAATTATAAATTGATCCATTTTATCTTTAGTGGAGTCAAGGAACCAGACTACTTGAACATTTTTGTTTTTCTTGGTTTTTCCAGCATTTTCGAACACAAAACTTCAAACACGTCAGTGTAACAATATTTGATCTATTATACTAACCCCTCAAATAGTTCATTTCTGAAAATTACAGCAAAAGCCAATGATGTACATTCCTTTTAACATTGGTGGCAACGTTAGCATATTTCCACTGTGGACTCGTTTATCAAACCTGACAGCGAAAATAATGATCTAAATGCTTAACACCTGATCTTGTCGAGGATGATGTCTGATGGTATCTAGATGAAAATGTATCTCTGGATAATAAATGAGGCCCCCCCCCCCTCCCCCTCCCCCCTCAGTGAAATCAGGTGTGTCATTATCACCCCATCTGTCACCATGATCAACATTGCAAGGCACCGAAGAGATCTATCACTCACAAACCGGCGATGTGTTGAAACAGTCAGTCAGTCGTCGCCGCCCTGTCTCCCCGGTCACCCCCTCTTAAAACATTTGTTCAATCTGCCAGTTCCCAGTAGTCCGCGCACCGGTGTTTTTGCAAGGAACTTAGGGTCAGTACATAGTCTAAGAGGGTCACCCGTGTTTGATGTTTTTGTAACGAGTGAGGGGCTTTGGGGGATACTGCATACACGAAGCTAATAAGAAAGAAGACTCCGCTCGTCTGTCATATTTGCGAGAATTGTTGTTACATGTATAATTTTTATTATTCATCACTGTCTGTGTGTTTTCTTTGACACAAGAGGGAGTTGTCTACAGACATGTGGATGTACTTTCAACCTGTATTGCTGTTTATTTATAAAAAGTTGTTTCAAGGGAATTTTTGTTTAATTTTTATAAGGGCGTCCATTTTAATTTGTTTGGTTCTCATTTCCGACCGACCCTATTTTGAGCTCCCGACTAAAAAAAAAAAACTAAAAAAACAACAGTTTATTGCAACTGATCGTGTCTGGAACGCCACTTATAAAGAAAAAAAAAACAAATTAAAAAAAATTTTAAATGCAAAATTTGGGCAATCAGGATCCTTGTTATTTGAAAAGCTATTGAAAATAAATACCAGATTTTTTTTTTTCGTGAACGGCGTATAGTCAGTGGAATCCCAGACGATGAGAGGGCATTGCCTCTCATTATATTAGGTGCCCATGGTTTACTGGCTGTCACTACAGCCAAAACATTTCACGTAAGTGAGCTGCTTGGTGCAGATATAGTCACATCGTGCTCCATAGTTTTATTATTTTATTCAGTGATATCAACTCATGATAAACTCATTGCAATAAACAAAACTAGAGACAACACGCACTTGGCATCATTTCGTTTAGCCATCTAACATGTATACAGTTGCAACTGCCAAAATAAACAAAACTCGTCAGAGTTTTATTATTTTTTCGACCGACCAACCGTACTTCAGAGGCAAAAAACATGAGAACCATAGAAGGGACGTTTTAATGGAACACTTCCAACTTAATAAGTAGGCAACATGTATGCGCACGTACACAATTTCTTTTTGCCATTCAAAATGTATTTATCTGATAGACCCACTTGGGCCTATAACGTACACATGCATGCACATACTTTCACTTGGTGATCTACTTTTCATTTCCATTTAAATAGGTTCGTAACCATTTTACCTGTTTCTCCCCCCCCCCCCTTTTTTTCCAATGACGTAAATATCATCCGCTGATAGATCAAATACATCAATTGACGGATGGAGCCATATTGTCCTAATAAAACACTCAACCGATGTTCACGTCTACGGGGTATTTGTATCCTATCGTTTTCCGTGCTACGCACACCGCCCCTCGCGCATACGAATCCTTCTTCTTCCCGCAAGGAATCAACATCCATTGATTATTGTATCAGCTTACATCCGGCGGGAGCCATATTGCATCTCGAGTGTTTGTTTGGCTTTCCGAAGTAC